AATTAAGGTGGCCTTTTTCTAGGAACGCTAAATGACACTTTAAATAAATTTCTGGCTTTTTTCCCTCCTGTTATTATACAGCTGAAGCCGTGTAAATATATGTGTTTCGCCCCTGGTAACCAATCTCTTCGTTCCACAGGCAAACAATAGCCTCAGCAACACAATGCGTAGGCACAGAAATAGCAGCATAACTTTGATATGTGTGGGGACAAACTTTAAACTCTCAACGAAAGCCTCAGAAGAAGCTTTAGTCAAGTAAGGAGTAAATGCAGTAGGAAGCCAGAAAGGGTTAAGGCTTCACTGACTTCTCCAGTTCTTAGCTCACGTCTACTGAGAGACTGAGATTTTTTTTTCCCCCTCACATTGTTCAGTCTTAATTATCTAACAAACTGCATTCAAAGATGATTTGGGGGGTTTTAGTAATCATCTAGCAATATTGACATGGTATATTTCATGTTTCAAAATTCAATCTTTTGAAGTAAATATAAGAGAAAGAAATAAGCAACTCTGGGCAGTTTTAAAGTGTATATATTCCTTGTTCAAATACAAGGGATGGAATACCTAACTTAAATGTTATCTCTTAAGAAACCAAAGCAGATTTCAGAGCACAGATGCCTTTGTAGTAAATTTCTGTGGTGCAAATCAAACTTATGACCTAAAGGTTCTTTCTTTCTTTTTTTTTTTTCATTATTAAAAAAGAAGCTGCGAGACACATGCTGACAAACACCTACACCGCAGCCGTTCCCTCGGGAAGCTTGGGAGCCCTGTAGCAGCACAGAGCTACACCACGCTGCCGTTTAGGACTAAAAGGGCCCACGACTCCCAGTTGAAACTGCAAGAGGAATTTAGGTAAGCAAAATATCATTATTGGAGTTGGACTGCGGCCAGGGTGCCCGGGATAACACCCCGATCCTAATGAAGAGTGGAAAGGAATCCCAAGCCTGCTGTTTAATATGCATGACATGTCGGGTTTACTGTCAACTTTTCCTTCCACCCCCTCTTTTGTCCGCTTTTTCCACCTGTTGCAACTTGTCCTTATTCAGAGCAAGACCCCGCCGGGGCACGAATTGTCTGACTTACACGTCCCATTGTGTCTAGAACAATAAAGCCCTGATCCCCGTCTACAGTTATTAAGATACTAAAGTAATAACGAATAACATAACACTATGCAATCCATTAGGACTTTCCTTTTTTACTTATATTTTTTAAATCCTTATGCTCCGGTTGTGGCTCCCAAGCCTCGAATTTAAACACAGAGGAGACCGTACAGGATCCATAGCACGGCTGCATGACTAACCACTGGATTTCGCGTAAAATGTTCTTGCAGATAAGAGAAAAATATGCGAGTGGAAACAATAAAAATAATGCAATTCAATCTTATCAATTCAGCCGGTTCCAGCTTTTATATGGCAAAACAAGGAGATCAAATTGCATTTATCTAATATCACAGATTTTTTAAATGTCTAAAATATTTAATTATTTTGCTTTGGCAACCTAAGGCTGAGGAACAGATTACTGTTCCCACTGCATAAGGAAATAACTGACAACAATTAGTATTTATTCTTGTTGCTTTTGTAATAAAAATAGAATTCCATCACTTTCAAGGAAACCTAAAATATTAATAAGAACGTGATGAACTGAGTAAATGTGACGCCATAAGGGAATGATGGAGAACAGGTTGGAAATATAGTGCTTTTGGAATGTATTGCATTACCAAGCTTGTGATTGTGCATTTTGACAAGAGCAGCCCTCAGATTGATACAGTAGCCAAAGGGCACTCTTCCTACTGCAAAGCCGTTTGTTCCCATTCGGAAAAGGGGGAGTAGAAGGGGAATTGATCCCCTCTGACAATCGATAGCTCCTCGAGCACGGTCTCTTCCACCAGAGGTCACTGCGGAGTGAGCACATGACCAGAGAAGGACCAAAACGCCCACCACAAAGCCACCACAAAGCCACCACGGGCAGAAAAAGCAAGCCTGAGCTGAACGGAAAGCCCAGAGGTGGTTTTACTGACTGCAGACATTACTATCCTGATGGTCCCTATAGTCTGCATACACAATAAAGTCTTGTTTTTTTGGAGAGCTGAATGATTTATGGGAACCCAAGCGACGTAGAGCGACTTTCCCTGTGCACCATGAGCAGCAATAGCACATCTACTTTCAGTCTAACCCAGGCACACGGTTCCCATTTGGCCTAAAATTAACCTGGCAGACCACTTACCAACAGGCACAATTGCAACCGGTACTAAGTCAAGTTTTGGGGGGCAACCTTAGGAAAAGGACTACAGTCTGAATGATAATAAAATTCTTTAGAAATTATGAAATCTATCTGGCTGGGACAACAGTTCTTCATGTCAAAAAGAGTGGTTTTGCAAGCCGGGTTTGTTGCACCAAACATGTACATCCTCTAACGCAGGAGTCTACTAGCGTGAAAAAAAAAAGCTCTTTCCGACTAAGCATTAGCTGCACAAATTAAATCGGTGAAACAGTTGGCACCATAAAAAAAAGAGTAAACTTTTCCCACATATTCAAAAGGAGGATCACAGATATTTTAGATATTACTGATGTTTCCCAAGGCCACCCTTGGCTATTTTTTAGCTTAAGAAAACTTCAAGCAAAACCTAAGCTGAATCCAAACAAGATAAGAGGTCACTGAAAAGCTGTATGACTAAGAAGATGGACACTCTGTGCACTCTGTAAATCGAGTCTGGCAGTTTGAGCCCAATTTCCAAAGAAATCAGTGTCTAAAACTCAAAAAGCATCACTGAGAATTACCATTTGTCCTTGTAATCTAAGTAGAGGCAATTAGGATTAAGCATCAAAACTAAATTCCTGCACCTCGGTCTCTAGAGGCAGTCTCCCCAGTTTTAAATTAAAGAGTAAATTACTGTAACACTTTGGAGAGAATATACCTGTCCTCTGTGTCCTCATGCTGCTAAAAACCCAATAGTATCTAGTCCAAAATTCTGGAATATTTTTGCAGTCCTTAAAATGTACAGAAGGAACACACAGATGAATCTGAACTGTCTGAATATTTCATTAAAGATTATCAGGGGGTGGCGATGGCCTGCTAACATGCAGTCGCCTTTCTTCTGTGTTAAACTGAACGAGATTTAAGCCATCTTTCAAAAATCTCCTTTGTTTGGATTTGACATTGGCAGCAGTCAATCGTGTAAGAGCACTATAACATTATAAAATGCTTAAACTTTGCAATAACTTTATAAAAACGCTTGCAGATATTGCACATATCTTCTCTGCGCTCTGCAGTCAAACTGGACAATGAAACGACCACCTGTTAACTGCTAACAATGTGTCATTACCAGTTCTCATGCCTTTTTAAAGCAATTTTGGCTCTAGCTGCCGATAATTCTGGCTACGATACTTGTGTGAACATTAAGGGCACAGAAAGCCAAAGGCAGAAAACTGACAATACAGTTTGTGCTTAGACTACTAATAAGAAAGTGAATAATATGATTTTTCTAATTCCACATAATTACTTGATCTCAAGGGGCCAAAAAAAGTTCTGAATACATATTTTAGAAGCAATCCGATCTACAGTATTTAAGTATAAGCTTCGATTCAGTGAGATTTCACAGCAGATATTTTCACATTTTTTAATAGTTTCAATAGCCTTTAACAAAGCAGAGGTTATTCACAATTCTCTAAGGTTTGAAAAGAAAAGTAGACTAAGTCTATGAAACTGCTCATGTTCGCTTCTTTCTGTTTTGTCTGATAAATTATCAATTAAAGATATCTGAGAAGTCAAAAACAATAAGTAAATAATAAATAAAAAATCCCCCGGCAATGAGACAGCTAACAGGCATTTTGCTAGTAACTACAATAGGAACAGAATCAGGTCCTTAAACTTACCATTCACTTTGTTTTATTTTTCTTGCTCTGGGAAACACAGTGTAACACCCCGTACGAGGCTATTGGGGCAGTTTTTCACAAGCTACATCCAAGCTACTTTATATTTTGTTATAGAAAGAAAATCTTTAAAAAAAAAAAAACTCTCCAAGGTAAGAGGGAAACACAAAAATAAAAAGCTTTGGTTTGCAAAAATTTTCTATTTAATGAATCTCTGTATCTGTGTGTGTGTGCGCGTGCGCGTGTGTACACATGTGTGCATACATTTGTGAATATGTGGATAATTATCATTAAAAATAATTACGTTAGGTCTTTTGGACGCAACTATTTCTTTAGCATCTAAGGCTTTGATCCTGCACTAAAATCTGTGCAGGCAAATTCCTACACAGCACTCCACTACCTAGAAGTACACCAGCATGCGGGTCTAAAGCTGTCACGGCATT